TTTGAGCTCCTCTCTTGGCTCTGTATCCAGACTCTTGTTGTGGAACTTCCTCAACATGCTCTTCTGGTGCTGGAACGGCTTCTGGAACTTCTTCTGGAGTCTCTTCGGCTGGCTGTGGTTGAGATTCTTCAGCTGCTGGGGCTACTGGCTCATCTCCGTATCCGTTTTGAGCTCCTCTCTTGGCTCTGTATCCAGACTCTTGTTGAGGAACTTCTTCTACGTGTTCAGCTGGAGCTGGGGCTGCTTCTGGAACTTCTTCTGGAGTCTCTTCAACAGTTGTTTCAGTTGGAACGGAAGGAACTACAGGTTCATCTCCATAAGCGTTACGCTTGTAAACTGGAAATATATGTGTGATACATATGATGGCATAGTACAAAATTCAAAGAGAAAAATTCAAAAACTTACCGGAGCGAGCTCCAGCCAATGCTATTAAGGCAAGCAGAAGAGTAATCCTCATGGTCGACCAAGGACTATGGAGTACCTGGGTACCGCCTTCTGTTGCCTTTTATACTAGTCTGCTTCAGTCGTCTGTTTTACACGAAAACCTGCTTAGAGGTGAGGAGCGCTAGCCTGTTGAGAAAAACTAAGCTGTAGCCACTGAATGGTTACGATGGGCAACGCGCAATCATTTAAGACGAGAAAGAGAATGCTAGATAGTTCTAAAACGAACTATCTTGATGAGAACCAGAGAAAATTGCAATGATTCTGCTGGAAGAAAGCAGCGAGACGCAGGTATACATAGTAGAATCCAAGGCTTCTGAAGTTTTGAAATGACGTGCTTCCCGACAATAAAATTCTGATTTCTTTGATCTCACTGGAACGACTTTTAAAGCTCAGTGACATAGAAGGTAGAATATATGAAGTATGAACTTAACCGTACTTCTGCCATAGGCATTACAACTCTTGAATGAGGAAATCTCGATTCTCCATGATATTTTTGAATCAGGATTTCATAAGCTATCCAGTTCTAATATTATTTATTTGTTTTTGGGAATGAGATGGAATTCAAACTTCGTTTTGTACTCCTTAATTTCTATACAGCTTGATTTCATGCGTGTAAAAGAACATGTTGCAAGGCTTTTAACTTTTTTCTCTTTTGAATGTTCTGAAAGAAAATCCTATTCATTGCGGAAGTGAAGCTGAGAATGAAAGAGGTTGAAAGCTCAAAAAAGCCTTATGCGTTTCAGCTAAAGTTTGATGACCTGCTAAGAAACGTATATTCGTCCATTTTTGGCATTCCAGTTTGAGACATTGTCAAAGTGAATGTTAAGAACAAGTCATGAGGGTCGTGTTGTCTTTACAGATTTTTTCCTTTCTTGTCCTTCCTTTATAATAGATGAATTGGGAATCGATCTCCACGTTTGGGTTTTTCAAACCTCATGGTCTATGAAATAATCATGACAGCTTTTGCAGATATGTATGGTTTTTTGTAGACAAAAGATAAGACCTTGTTGAATTCACATAAAAGTTTTTTTTTATAAAAAATGCAATTTGAGCCTCGTCTCTGAATAACTTGTAGTGAAGGTTGTTTTACAAACGTGAGATCGTCATTTGCTTCTTCTATTGACGATGGTTTCTGGTGAATGTGAGGGATTGTTCGTGAATGACAAAATTTCTTTTCCCTTTCTAATTTCTTTCAATCTTTGAACGGACAATATATAGATTTTCGGAAGAAACATGTAAGTTTCAAAACAAAAAAACCACTTCTAGGCACTACTCAAGAGTAGAGACTGTTTGGAATCAAACGAAAAATTTGTAAATCATCAACCATCTTTGAAGGCAAGTAAAGGACGAAGGGTAAAAGCCGTAGAATGAAGAAACAATCACTTGCAATCCCTGAACGGGTTATCGAGAAATGGTTCTGCCCTTTGATGATGTGAACTGCTGATTTTTTTCAATCGCCCTCTCTAATACACACCTTTATGCAATATTCTTGCATTATTATGTCAGGTTCTGCTTTAGTACAATAAAAAATAAGGATAAGTCTCAACATGTGAATTATTTGATACTCTGGGAAACAGATAGGTCTTGGAACAGCAAGGTTTGACAGTTAAGGTTTTTCATCAAGAAGCGTTCCAGTTCATTTTCAATACATGCAAAAAGACGGATAGAAATAACGATGGCACAATAGGCTTGTTGAATAGATCTTCATAAAACGTTCCAAATACAGCTTCGAAAAAAGCAGCTTCTTTCAATTCTAGAAGGGTGATACTGATTTCATTTCCAGGCGCGTCTGCGTCATGAACGGTTGCATTCTTTTCACAGTCGGTTACTCCTGATCTAATAGATCAGATAATGATCACTCGTTGTTTTTGAAAAGAAATTTTTTTCTAACATTCTTGTTGGAAGGTTCTTTTTTGCCAATATTGACGGCATGTGACAAAAAATGTTTCCTACTTCTTTCAGTAAATGAAGTTCATACTGGTCTGTTAATTCGATTAGAAATTTTGTGAAAACCGTTTACATCCCTTTTCCGAAACATTCTTGACAAAATTCGTGTCCTTTGGTGAAAATGGCATTGTTCTTTAATGTTTAGTTTGTGGGAGATGCTTCTTCATTTTCAATCGAGAATATTATGATCAAAAGAATAGTCAAGCATCAACTAAGTATTTCATAAAAAGTGAACAGATAAGGGGAAGACGAAAACCTTTCTGAGAAAAGAATGAAAGTGCCAAAAAGCAAGCAGTTCCAGCATCACTTCGTTCTATTTCAGTTCTGAAGCTCCGTCACAAGTTGTTCGCTTAATGAAAGATTGTTTCTTTCTGTTCAAACTTTTTTCTTCACTTATTGTCATTGGCATAAAAACGTTTTATTTCTCTCAAACGAATTGAAAGATCAACTTTTAAAACGAACCACATTTCACTAACGATCCTAAAACTGAACGAGTATCGAAAACTTGGACTCATTCAGAGCTATTAACGGTTCTTTGACCATCACGAAGCTTTGCAAATTAGGCACTCACTAAATTGATTAAGTGTGGAAACTTACAATAAACTTCGTTTTCTCAACTCTTTAAAGATTGAAACAGAAAATCTCAACAGATTATATATTCACCTTATCCATCTAGAAGGAAACATATTTGAATATCAATTGTACTTGAACTGATGAATGCGACCTGGATGAATTCCAGACAGATACGAACCATAAGAGGAAAGTTTATGCTGATTCTCAAATAGCTGAAACTGACTCAAAACTTAAAAAACTAAAATCAAACGAGAGGATATTTTTGGCGCAAGAAGAACAAGAGGAGTTGCTAATGAAGTTAGGCACAGTTCATGATGCACAACCGGTGACTAGCGTTTGACTATGAGAAATGATCTTGAGATTTGCGAAAAGTGGGGATTGAGTAACACAGTCCCTGTTTACCAACAAATCAAATGTTATTGCGATAGTTAGTTCTATGATTCATAACAAGCTTCCTGAATATTCAGTTTCCCACATTAAAATTATTATTTGCTACAACGTCATCAGAAATCACTTTGAATCGAAAAAAAAACTGGTTTGCGTATTATCATCACGGTATATCTACTAGGTAACAGTTTGAAACTTCAATGGAACATTGCTACTATAATCGGCTTATGCTATTTCTATAGATGAGTTAGGAATGTTATTGAAAAGATACCGGCTGGAAGCTAGAATAAAGTCTTCTATGTAGTTTTTTGTTACATACAACATATGAATCATATAAAGTTCAATTAAACTATATTGATTAAGTTAGTGTGCTCGCTATCTGTTGGGAATCTCGTATTGTTTGTTTTTCCCTCATTGAAAACGATGTTAAACTCCATATAAAGCTAAGCTGGAGAGTGCAAAGCTGTATCTTACTCTTACGTGCGTGCTAAAAATGGAATACCACTCTTCATCATCTTATCAAATTTACTGATGGAGCTTCTACTATACAACTTCGAGAAACAGCTCTTGTATTTCGCAGCTTTGTGAATGATACTCTTAATGTTCTTGCTTCTATATAGATATCTCTTACCTCAAATTCTCAGCTTCACCTTTACTTTCCAACTTAATTAGCTACAGTCGTCTGTTCCGCTTGCTTCGTTTTTCTCTATCTGTAAAACAAACAACAGTCGGCTTTTCATCAGAGGTTTGAAAGGAAATTTCATTGCTCAAGAATGAGATTGCAAGGAAAACGACAAACTTTCATGCGTGGAGCTGCAGATGTCTTGTCATCAGCAGCTTTTCTGATATTTAGTTTTCTTGAACGCTCGTTCATAAACATTCGTTCCGCGAACAATGTTCTCAATTTATGAAGCGTAATCTTTTGACACTTTCATTCGTATTAATAGAACCTTAAACTATGCTCTATTACAGCAACCGTTGAGCTTTATCTCGTGTTTATTCATCTTCGAGTAGTCAAGTATACAGTTCTTATTTTGATGATGGTTAAGTAAACTATGTGCTAAAACCATATGATTATATTTGTGACGACCGATGCCCCAAACTTTTAATTATCTCACATTCTTTGGTTGTTTAATCCGAGAACGCTCTGACTTCGAGTTAATTGAACTGGGAGATATTTTAATAATATTTGCGATTCGCTCGTCATTCAATTCCAATTAACCATAAAAGCTATAATGGTGCTCATACTCAGGCTGACTTTTAGCAAATATTAAAAAAACATTTCAAGAATCTATAGCTACGAAAGTTTGCTCTTGCTATAAAATGGTATTTTCTTTGATAACCCATACATGTTTGGTTTTCTCAAAACCATTCCATGTTGAACTTCAAACACCGCATATCAACTATATTTCGAATTGCATAAGCTTCTCGATACCATCCATATTTCCAGAATGAAACTCTTTCTGCTAGGACTTTTATGTTTTTCTCCTTTGGTTTCTGCAGACTTGAAATTTCTGATTGCGATTTGGAGACATGGTGATCGAGCTCCTGAGTCCAAACCATATCCTAACGATTTATATAGTGAGAGTAATTGGCCTCGTGGATGGAATCAGTTAACTAATGTAACTACTAATTATATTTTCTGTCCTCACACCTTTGTAGATCGGAATGCAACAAACGTATGAACTAGGCCAGTGGTTCCGAGAAAGATATGTCGAAACTCAAAACTTCCTACCTTCAAACTTCAACTATAAGAAGGTGAGCCTCTATCACCAACAGTTTCATAAAATGCCATGAAGATATACTATCAAAGCTCGGATTCCGAACGAGCTATCCAAAGTGCACATGCACATGCCGCTGGAATGTTCCCTGCCAAAGGAGATATGGTATGGACTTCCTCAACAGCTCTATTAGCCTGGCAGCCAATTCCTATTCACACAAATGGATATAACAATGCGGATCCTGTAAGTTGTATTGAAATGCGGCACAAGGATTAAAAACTCTTTGAAGCTACTTAAACCCACGTCATACGACTGCCCATCTTACTCAAAGCTTGTGAATAGTGCTAATGGTCCTTACTTGCAAACAGTAGGCAATCAGTACGAAGGATTGTTCGCTAAATTGTCAAACTATACAAACATGACAGTTACTATTGATAATGTAAAAGACTTATATGATATTACCCGTGAAGTGAGTATTCTGCTTGGGAGACAGATCGAAAGAAGTTTTCAGATTGCTCATAGTTTGAAGCAACCTGACTGGGTTTATGAAGAATGGAATGGAACAACTATTTTGAACAATATAATTGAACTAAAACGAATAACTAGAACGTCTCTCTTTAACACAGAACAAAAATCTCGTTACCGTGCTGGTTATTTGTTGAATGATTGGTGCCAGAAGCTTGAAGATGCGGGAGCTACCAACTATACTGGAAAACTTGCAACATTGTATTCTTCCGTAAGTCTACTAAGAACTTGTTCAAACTGTTTGACGTTCAGCATGATGGAACACTCTCCGCACTCAGTTATCTGATGGGTGTGAATGATAATCAGCTAGTGCCCTATGCTGCTGCTATTATCGCTGAACTACATTCCAACAACACTGTCAGGGTAAATTATGCAGAATCTGAAAAAAATCTACAATTTGAAATATTATCAACGCAACCAACTTTCAAAGCGAAGCTGCATAGTGACCAATAAACCAATATAGTTTTTGCTAAGATTATATATGATAATCATACTTCCAGTTGCTCTATAGGACCAGCAGTGTAAACGTGACTGTCTTGAGAGTGGATGGATGTGGTGAATTCTGCCCATTGAACACCTTTTTATCTGCCATGAACAGTCGAAGGATCAGAACTATCTCAGAACTGGAGCAGGTTTGAAGCTACAACAATAAGTTATAAAAATTCGCAAGTTTTCAGACATGCAGTGCTTACAGATTCACAGCTTTAATAATGATTGTTATGTCAACTATATTTATGCTCTAATTTCGAGATTTACGATGTAAATACATGTGCAAGACTGTTTTATTTGAAAATTTTGAGATACGTTACAGAGAGAAAGAACAAAATCCACGCTGTTTAGCTTGGCAGCTGAAAATTATAATTGAACTGATGTGTCAGCATCTAAACAAAGAATAACCTCTGACTGTTCCATTGTCCGTGTTTCTGCATATCAGCGTTGAAACATTCTCCATTGCTGAAAATAAAACACTAGCCATAATAAGATTTTTGGGCTCACATATTAGCATCTGAACCGAAAAAGTAAAACGACTCGTCATTGAGAAGTTTTGCTGCATCGCTGGCTCTCACTGTTGCCTTGTTTGCGTCGAGATTGTGCTCTTTCAATTGGTTATCCCACATTACCACGAACGGAATATTAGAAACTTTTCTTAAGCCTATCCATAAGCTCTCATTCAGTTTTCTCCATCTAGTCAAATCTAATATCGTAATTGACGAAAAATTGAACAGAGACAATGATACCTCGAGCAGTTTCCAACTCATTTATACTGGTTAGTTCAGCGAGGAAACTTTTCTTATTTAAGCCTTCACATTGTCTTTTGGCATCAAACCAACTCTCAGCCTTGCTTGTTATCTAAGAACTGTTTTTTCACCACAGGCATGTTCAAACTGGACCCACAGCCAAACACCTAATTTTATGATTTTCACCTCTGAACCTCAAAAAGTCCTTAGGGCATATAGGATCATTGCTATAGAAATCATATTTAGTTGGCCCTGAAAAACTCAGTGCTAAAACACAAATTTGAAGAATTTTACCATAAGTACATGCAAAAGGTGCGGTTACGTAAGGCTTCAGGTGCATATATTTTTTGTCCTTTGATTTCCTAGTAAGCTGACTAGTCAAAAACTGAATAATGGAACAAACTTACGTAATCCAATAAAAAGCACCACTTGTCTCATCAAAAGTTCTAGAATCAAGGAATCCTCGTTCGAAATACATCTGCAAGAAAGTATTGAGACAAATGGTTCTCTCTCGATCATCACCTTGGCATTCAATTTATAGTCTTGAACTTGTAAAATATGATTGGATGAGCCTGTTGTGCTGTTTGTTCCATTAATATGTTCAAACAATAGAGGAGTCAATATTAAAATTTGTTCGTTAGAATCTTTCTATAAATTTAGGATGATTTAGAAAAAGAGTAAAACATGCCTTGTTATCAAAATTCTGTACTATTTCGAACTGTGCATTACTTGGTGTCATCATAGATTTAACATTCGTCCCAATTTTCTATTGAAGAGCATTAAGACGAAACAAAAGAAACTGAATACTTCACAATACTTTCCTTTGGTCTGTTCTACTGTTCTATAGTTGAACCGTTTATATGTCATGAAGTTACAATATCCATTGTCGAAGAAAGTCCTCATACCGGATGTTTCAGAGAGCATTTTGCAGATATCGTCATAATCTGAGAATGAGAATATCGAAAGTAAATTGACCAATACGAACATAACGGGGTGTTTTTCTTTTTCCGAGTACTTTCACAAAGCAGAGAGCCAGCGGATTGGCTCATATACTCAATGAGGCCAGGAGAGCTACCCTTATATGAAGTTGTCCTGATTCCTCTATAACTTTGCTTTCCGGTACCGTATTTGACTCCATCCCAATGTTTTTCTAAAAAATATAGAAAAAACGACTGAACAATATATAAACTGACCTTTCCGTGAATATGGAAATGAACTAACTAGTGCTGTCGACAAATTACTGATCAGCAAATGAGTATCGAAGTTTTTGAATAAAGCTGTTATACTATTATATTAGTTAAATTTAAAATTCTCACTTCCTATCCAGCGAGCAGTGGAGGTATGATAGATTTCTGCTAATTTATAGTTCACCGGACATTCTGTTCCTTTAACAGGTTTATAACACTTCCCATTTACAGCTACGTCTGTTTTAGAGAAGCACTCATAACTTTGGCCTGAATGTAACAAGAGATAATCATGGATAGTTGGAAAAAATAACCTAAAACACAGTCGAGAGAATCTTTCTCTTGGTTGAAATCTAACACTTCAAAGGGAGATATAGATTCACACACTGTTCTCTTGTTTGCAATTTTATTTTTAGATGAAATAGAAACAGTGCATGTTGAATAAACTCCCTAACAAAAAGCTTCTTGAATGAAACCGAAGGAAAGATAATTTACTTTTGATTCATATGTTGCCCAAAATGCCTGTCCTCTGATTTTCTGGCAAAACTTTTCAAAAAAACTTTCAGAGTATGAGATACTGACAAGCTGGCAAAACAGCAACAGCAATGCTGATCTTAAAAACTACGATAAAATGCACTTTTGTTACCAACCAACCTCCTTAGTTTCATTCTTGGTTAGTGAACTACCAGTATACGTGAGAAACGTGGCGTGAAGACCACGTAAACATTGTACCTCATTATTAGCATTCATATACTCTACACAGCATATGCAAATTTTCAACTGAACACCTACGGTTGAGAGAGTATTACGGTATGATGGGGAATCAGTTTTGTATTCCTTTAAATGGTGGTGTTCTTTCTAAAACGGAAAATTGCGGAGACCCTGGCGGGAGAATAAAATTTTTAAATGGTCTTTTCATATTTCGAATGCTTTGAAAACGAGGAAGCTGTTTTGAGCTTTTTTAGTCAATCCCAGAATGAGTAATGCTCAGAAGATAAAAGATTGTATTATTTCTGTAGAAAATGCTCTGATAACTTATCAAAAATCACTTATTCATATACAAAATGAGGTAGAGTTGGTATGGTAACATACGATGAGAGATTATCGTGATTCAGATTGGGGATATTATTGAACAACAAACAAAAGAGAAACATGCAAAAGCCAGAGAAAAGGTATTACACCTTTGTGAAGGTTCTCATTACTTTTTTTAGGCTGATTTGAAGAAACTAGATGCTATGAACAGCAAAGAACTCATGGATGGTATCAGGAGATGTATGGAAGAAAATAAAAATGCTTCATTCAAATACTTAATCGTAAGTGCTCTTTTTCTTTTTGTTTTAAAGTCTGCTTTTAGAAATGCTATAAATATTGGAACACTCAGCTAATGCCCGCAATCAAGAAAATTGGGATTAGTACTTTCTGTAAACTACAGGTTGACATATGCGGGATGCTTTGTAAGCTTTCGGGTTATTTGTTTTTACATGGTGATGTAAGTATTATAATGTTACAATCAATATTCAAAGTTTCAGTATTATAAAGGGCTAGAATGTTTGTATGATATGGTCTCGATCTACCCGGATTTCGCTGAAGGCCGAACAGTTTTAATCCGATGGTGTGTTACTTTAGGTGAGGTTTTATCCAAACTCCGTGTGTTCATTTTCGATCAAGGTGAATGGGAATTACTAGAGGATTTGCTTGTGCTCGAAAAAAAGTTGCAAGCAAAAGCCAAATCTACCAGTGGAGTTGGAGAAATTAAAAGAGCGACTACGCTTGAACTAAGCAAACTGTTCTTAGACTTCATTCGGAAAGAGCCATCTAGAGTACGTTATGGCTTTTGATCCTAAAAAAGAAGTTTTAGGATAAAATATGTAAAGAACTCCTTCATCATCACATGGAATCTGTAGAACGGGTTTCCACGAATACGTATACTGTTTCTGAATATTTTGCTGTTACGCATTATATGTGTTCGTTTCTTTCACGAGTTCCAAATTTCAACGAAGTTTGTATATAATTTTATTTAGAGAAATAGGTTTATTTTCAGAATGTTCCTGATCCCTTACATCTTCTTCAATCCTCATATGCTAAATTCGAAACCATAATGAGAAATAGAATTCCCGGAATAGCACGAGAAAACTTCAGAATAGACGTACACAAACTCTTCGAAGACCCTAAAAAAGGATGTAAGTTGTGGGAGGTGTTTCTTACAATTTTTTTTTCTAGTTGAAGCTTTCTCTAGTATAGCTGATTGCTTAGAAGTGTTGAGAGAATTGATCATTGAGTTTTATAATTGCGGCATGTTGAAGGAGGCTTACGCCTTCGCTTTATTAGGATTACAGTATGCAAATAAACTAGGAATCTTCTTTAGGTCCGTAACCATTTCCATTCTTTAATTTTTTTTTTCACAGAATACAGCAATTTCATAATCTTATCCTTATGATCCAAAGTTCGTCTCGTGGTAAAGACATTTCGGAAACATCTTCTGTAGTGCTGCTTAACACTGCTACATTATATTCTGTAAGTAATTGATATTTGTAGAGTATGGAGTGATATTTATGTTAGGCTTCGAAAGCGAGCCGTTGTCACACGCCTCTGCTCAATTGCCTCCCGTCTCCTAGAATGAAAACTTCATGGAATAGCTCAAGCATGGCTGGTAAGCTTATGCTGGATTTTCAGGATCTGAAGCTTAATGAGTGAGTGTACTCTTAACTAGGGAATCAACATACTTGAACTAGAACATCTGATGAGCCAACGAAGTTGAAGAGTTTGCATAAAATAGATAAGAAGTGTGAGTGTGAGACCTGTATTCATTATGCGAACAACTATAATTCGGCCATGGAGTATCAAATATCCAACTTTTATTACGAGCTGAACTCAACTCAGAAAATCAGCGTACGTTCAGTTTCTTTCACTGGTGTAAACAATCAATGACAGGATGGAATTGAAAAATTGGTAGATGCGTTCAGCGTTATACGAGAACGAATGATTGACGAACAAGCTAAGCTCATCCGGAAAAAAGGAAGACCAGTAAGAACAGAAGCAAGTTCATCACACAAAATCCGCTTAAGAGGCCTCCTATATCAATGTGTGAATCAGTACTTCTCTCTTCTGTTCATTGGCTCCGGCATTTGGAGGGAAATGGCAGACCTCATCTACGAGATAATAAATTATCTTCGTTAAGATCATCAATTTTGCAGACAGCTACAAAGGTATGCTTTTTTTCTGAAACGCTTATGTAACGATGTCGTTTAGATAGCAAATTATTCCTCTATTAAGTATATTGGATACAGTTTAGCCCTACGCCACTTCGATCGAATGGATAAACTATTGCCATCCAGCACAAGTCCATATTCTTGGATGAGTCCATCTTCTGAAGCACAAAGAAAAGGCAGAGTATGTCAAGGCTTAATATCTCTCTTTCGGAGCTTTGTTTGTGGTCTGCGAACCTATAAAAATCATGAGTTTTTCCAGGTTAATGAGCCTGGAGATATTGTAGAGCCAGCTTCAAATGTTATACCATTCCTTATTGCGAAGAAAAGTGAACTACTGACGAAACTTCTTGCAGAAGCACAAAAAGATTATTATGATTATAATCATCTTCTGTATAGGTTAGCTTTCCTATATTTCTTTCTATAATAGGTTCACAGGCATTGGCGGTTTCCTGTTACAACTTTTATAGCTGCTCATACAGACAGCAAATTTAGATCGGCTATGCTCTTCTCAGAGTCAACTGTTTTAGGTAGTAGGTAATAACAAAAAAAATCAAGTGTTCAATTTAAATCGTTCTCTCAGAGCCACAGCTCGGATGTTGTCCAAAAAAATCACCGGTGTCACGTTCTCGAACTCCACGGTGTTCGAAGGGGCTGTCAAAAGATTGCCAATCGGTATTCAATGATTTCCGCTGCGTGAGAACATATTTTCTTCAGATTTCACTGTAATCCAGCTAGCTCTGGATAGTGATGGTAATTTATTTTTGATTAAACTACATGCTGAACGAACGCCGTTCGTTATCCCAGTAGCACATTATACGAAGGTTCACTTTTTTTTCGAATTTTTTACTTTATTGTGTTATTCAGGTGTTCAAGTCACAGAGCAAAATGAGTCTTATAATGGAAGCGAATGAGAAAACAAGTACAGAATTTGACAGTGCCAACAAAAATAGAGCGAAAAACTTTTGGAGTTACAGGAGGAAAGTGGATCAACAGTTAGAAGTAATTTTCACTCTATTATTCAATCTCATACTCATGTTTCCAGAGCACTGTTGCTGGTATCCAGAATTATCTCTTCCAAAGGTTTCTTCCTATGCTTTTACCTTGTCAGTCTTTAGCACCAAGAGGAAGAGAGGTTCGTAAGCACAAAACCACTTGTTATTTTCTTTTTCAGTTGGCTGCCGAGCTGCTTAGTAATTTGCCGATTCCAAATCCTCATTTCGATCTCAATTGGTCTGAGGTAAGTTTTCAGCTTTTAACAATGTTCTCATGGTTTATACTTTCAAGGAACTGATTTCTTTAGTCTTTCAAGTGACTCGTCAACAGTGGTGCATGCTTATTGATTCTGTAGGAGAGCTTTGCGAGCTATCAGAGAGTTCAATGAACTATTTGAAAAATGAATACCTGAGGTCGCTCCAGCTCTTTTTCTTAGTTTACTTCAATTTTAGATTGAAGAAAAGCTTGTGCGGAATGGGAATGATCAATAAGTCCAAGCCATTATATACTTTCCTCATTGTTCCTCCTGTAAGTTCGAAGTTAACTGTAAAATCTCATCAGGTTATCCAGGTTCTTGGCTCATTCCCATTTGAAGTTATGCCCATATACAACAATCGGCCACATGTTGGTCGTTTGGTTTCTCTTCATGCACTTCTGATGCTTTTGAGGAAGACTTCAAAAGTTAGAAACTTATCGAGATATTCAAGTTACATATATATATATCATCATTTTACAGCTCCCCCAACCAGTAGTCGTCTCGAATTCTTACTATGTTTTGGATCCAGATAATAATCTGGATAATACTCAAGTGCGGATATCGAACTTCATATCGAAGGTTTTTCTTATTTCGATACAATTTCACAATTAAAATTCAGCATGCTTGGACAGGTGTTGTTGGAAATGCTCCTTCGATGGCAGAGTTTCAGAATATTCTAGAAAACAAGGATATGTTTTTGTAATTATATCATATGAGTATAGGGAAACTGTATTCTTTACTATTTTAGCTACTTCGGTCATGGAAGTGGTTCTAAACACTTTAATCGGCGTTCAATACAAGAGTCTCAATGTAGAGCTGTTGCTATTTTGATGGGATGTGGAAGGTCATATTTACAGTTTTTTGTTTCTCACGAATATGTTTTAGTGTAGCCATGGAGTATGAAGGTTGGGGTTTAGATGGGAAATGTACAGCATATCACTATGCTATTGCTAAATGTCCAGCAGTGCTGGGTTGTTTGTGGATGGTTACGGATGGTGAAATTGACAGATATTTCATGGCTCTGGTAACAAATTACATTTCTTTCTGTTCGTCATATTGAGCTTTAGATTGATTTGGTGTTTTCTTCCGATGCGAATACCACGGTTGATGAAGGAGCTCCCAGGCTAAGAGTACTGCTGGATGGAATGCAGAAAGCGCGACAGCGAGTTAAATTGCCGTTCCTCACGGGTGCTAGTGTGGTCTCATTTGGACTACCTATTGTTTCCTCAGAATAATTTTTATGTACCACTTACCAAATTGTGATATAGAGTTGTAAAGTGCAAGAAATACTAAAATTTTTATAAAATTATACTATTACTTCATTCAGCACGATTTTAAAGACACTCTCAAATGATACTTAAAGGAATCAAACGGGTATTGAAAATAAATTATCTAACTCTCTTCTTTCTTCTGTGTGTAAGGGGCATGGTCGTTCCCGAAGTCGAGCTCTTCTGCCACGGTCTTAGAATTTCAAGGGGATCTATGGTATCTGGCAATATTCATTTTCAGCAAGCATGTTACAGTTAGCGGTCGTTCATTGTGGAGACCCCGTTTTCATTGCTAACTTATAATCGAATTTACCGGCGTTTCACCTTTTTGAATTGCGCAGACCAGACGTAAAGAGTAAAAAAATGTTCATTTTTTGATAGTTCAAAATAAAATACACAAAAACAAATGTCACCAGCAATTTTATCAATGAATTCGCGAGAGATCTTCAATAATTTTTATAATTTCTTCGGTGGTCTGTTCTTGATCCAATGATTCTTTGCCTATCGATATGAGAAATATTTGTTAAGAGGTAATAGATCAGTTACCTGGCACTTTGATGTACTTGAAAGCTTCCATACGCTTCTCACGAGGCCATTCCAAAACAGATTCCACCAAGTCACCGTCAATAAATCCAAAAGCCTATAAAAACAGGTATCAGTTTGAGGATACTGGGCCTAGCACCTTTTCTACAGATCTCTGCGCATGGAACTGTCGGTAAACATTGTGAGTTACACGAATGCAATTAACAGTCTTCTTTGCAATTGCTGTCTCGACTTCACCTAAGAATCTGAAACGGGAATCTTACTAATTCAAGATTCTGTAGCTCACTTGAAGTATTCGCTAGGAATCTGCACAATCAAACCGATACTTCCATCAGATGTACCGAAGAGAATTGGTTTGTCTACCGGAAGCTGGCTATCAATGTGGCTGGCAAGCAGCGAACCTCTTCTAAACACGTTGACCATTTCTCCAATATAGTACTGTCCGCCCTCCTTGAAATGAGTTGTACGTTTGAAAACTTTTCTCAACTAACTTTGAGCTTAGGCTTATCTTCAGCAGAGCATCTGTCTACTTCACCGGTAAAAATATTGAACGAGGATTCAGCTCCCAAAACTGTCTCCGCATCGATGAACTCGACGGCAGTCATCCACATTCCTCGATGATCACTAAGTTCAATATTTAAACCTAGGGAATTAAGCAAATGGCTACCGTGCACTTTCCTCGAACACGCACTCCATACTTTTATAGCTCAAAACACAAACTGATCTCATAAGATCACCAACTAAAACTTGGTCTCCCTGAGATATTGAAATTAAACGGGTTTTGAAATGAGGTGTACCTTGACTTTCAATTGGAGAGCTGCGATATGATTGAAGTGCGAACATTCCAATCTCAACTCAGGTTTATCCGAATCAGGCCATTCGAAAAGACGAACCGAGCTTGAACGACATTTATTACGGAAAAATTGCACACAAGTACCTGTTCAAAGCGACGATCAGTTTTGATCCCAAAACATCCATCGAAAAAGGACATCCCTTAACTTCTTTTTCAGAGACTTTTCGCAAACGATGATGATCTTCTAAGCTTGTTTCGAAAACAATGAGACGACCCTTAGAATATTCAAAAATCTAGTGAAGCTTATTTCGTGGTATGAACTAACAGATTTCACTTCCGTTTCATCATTATATATTATGGCTGTTCCAACAATATAATAAGTTCTTGGATCTTCACCGAGGCTAGTAGAAATCACAGACACCGCGTGTTCGTTAGGAGCAAACTCATGAGTATGCAGAGGTTCGAAAGTGTTAGCATTCAGAAGAACAAAAGAATGAATCATTCCGTCACCACTCTCGGCTGCTACATGTGCTCTAAGTCCTGCAAGTTTAATATAAAGAAAAATCATATTTATTTATAATCTGAATCCTACCTATCTCTGGCTTACTGTGAGAAGTCACTGTAGCCATTTTAGAAATCGAGGTCCTGGAAGACGTCTGAAAGTTTCTGATTACCTTATGGTTACTTTCCTACACACCTCCACACGTTCACATAAAATTCCAAGGCTGTTGGTTTCTTTTTGATAAGCGATCCGCTTAACAGATTCCCCTAGAGGGACTGATCGAATGTGCAGCTTTTGAATATCATCAACCATTCCAATCGACATTGTTTCTCCATCAGACATCACCAAGCAATCTCTGAAGAAATAATGAAAATTGAAATAAAAAACGGTGATCCTTACCTATACTTTTCAGAATTGAGGCAGCACATGTGGGTTAATAATTTCAAGTTAACATTAGAAAATACAAGTTTGTTGTTTGATGAGAATATAACAGTAGGACGATCAGAGCAAGCGAATACGTTCGTCATTCCTCGAGACTCAAATCTCAGCAATGTGGGAGGCTGAGTTCCCAGTGATGCTTTTTTGAGATCTCTCAGCGCACCTGCGTATTCGGATATAAATTACTCTCAGTTCACCTTATTATACCTGTTTCTCTATCAATTGTATAATAGAAGAGACAACCGTCACCAAGGGCCAAAAGCAGATAAGCAATATCTTCCATCACTGTGATCAAAATTGATCTAGGCAAAATGTCTACAGCCAACTTTTCACGAATAATCTGGTAACCGTTATTAGAAATCTTGTTCTAATCGAGTACTTACCTCATTGAGGTCGGGAAGAGAGAAAAGAGCAGCACTGTTCTCAGTCCAAAATCCAACAGCGACCAAAGTTGATTCTTCAGTATCTATAAAGGAGATATTTTCCTTATCAACTTTTCAACAACACCTAATGATGTGATGTCGACACATGAAATCTCGAAATCGAGAACTTTTGAACAAATCTGTTCAAAATCGTGTTGGTCAGGGAGGCATTTCAAGTAATATATTGATGGTCCGCACACAACAACAATCTTTAAGAAACATTTCTCTTATGTCTTTATAATTTCAAACCTGTCCAGACTTTCCGTTTACTGCAACAAGATCTATTACACTTTCAGGTGGTGACCAACACTTCGTATCTCTGCCTGGAGCGCACAATCTAACAGCGGCTGAGGTAACCTGAGAATACATTGAACTTTCAATGGTTGAGCACGTCGCGTTTGCAAACTTGAACGACAGATTTGGTCTCCCCAATCTTTCCTGCCCATAACGTGGAAGCCTCAGTGGTGAGAGTTAGCAAATCAGTGTCTTCCAACTCTTCTCCTTCAATTTTCAAAATATGCGTGTCGTCATCGAAAGACACTACGAGATAATTATCGAACTCTGAGTCGATATTGAGAGCGAATATTCCCTTAAAAAACATACAAGTCAAATGAAAGCAAAAAAAAAACCTTAATTCCAGGTAAATCAACAGAAGCAGCTTCCTCTATTCCTATTCCGTTCCTGATAACACGGAGCGAACCGTCCTGAGCGAAGTACAAACTGAATAGTTGGAGAAAAAACCTACTTTGAAGCATCCAGAACATGTAATTAGTTGGGTTTGACCATCGTTCTCAATTACTGTCATATCTCTGATGGGAGCCAGATTGATGAACGATTCCAGAATCTATGTAACTTAACTGTTTTTATACTTCAGCTGACCATGTTACCGTAATAAACGAATTTTCAGCTCCAGGTGTGGTACTCAGCCTGATGAGTTGAGAGTCACCAAAGCGAGATCCTACGAAAATAACTCCATTATCAAGATAAACAAGACATTCTGGAGTGGATATTTCGCCCAACAATTCCAACTATAAAATCCATAAGCGAATATCAAAGTATCATCTGGCAAACCTTCATATTTGTTACTTGATGCTCGTTTTCCTCAAGGTCAAGAACAATCATGCACAAATTTCCAAATCTATCTCCTAATAGGAACCTCTGTCCATTATCATCAATCGAAGCAAAGCAACAGAACTGTCCTTGTCTCATCAGTGAGGGAGAAATGGATAAGTATGTTAGATCATCTCTGAACAAACCTTTTTTTTATCGAATAGAAACCAATATAACGTACTTGTAATAAAGTAAAGTTTCTTGTCCGACAATTATAACTCCTCCATATGGGTGTGGCACAGGAATAATTAACAAAGATTCACTTTCAATATTATCCTAAACACACAATTGCTTGAACACCGACAGCGGATGGAATCTCACATGTTTAGCAACAGTGCGAATATCTTTATCGATCAATCCCAACTCACAAACTTTCAAATGTCGTCCATTTGAATCACTGTAGATATAAGCTATCTTAATTTCATCTCCTATAATTTTGAAGGTTATGATATTCATAGTATGATCTATTACCCGTGGTGTGCATGAATGTGAAGTCCACAACTTGGATATCTTCCAGTCTCACACTGAAGCACTTTAAGTCTTTGAAGTCCTTACTATCTTTCAAATCTGTCCATTGGATAATTTTCAGAGCCCCATCATACAGACGAAGAGCAACAAGCTAAACGTGATGATATTTCTAACGAAAAAAGTTTTTCAAACAAACTCCAGATTTGTGAACTGATAACAGTGAACCATGTTCGATGGGGCGTCCGACTCTTTCAGCTACGCTGCCTGCGGCTCGAGTGACTATACAGTTTGAAGCCTCATCCCATCCAAGAACTGCAAGATGATATTTGGCAGTCAATACCAAAATACAGTCCTTTTCCTTAACGAAAAAACCATAGCACAACGAAACAGTGAATCACATGCCTCCCCCTTTGGTCGGAACAGACTTAAACCAACGATTCTTCCATAAACCGAAACTTCTTGAACAGATTTCAGACCTTCTGCTGTAACTTTATGGATATGTACACGGCCAACTTTGGCCAAGATCAGATTTAAATCATTTTTGCCTGGAACAAAAGGTTTTTGTGCTCTACTTTTCAAAGTGCCTTACTTGTGAAGTTGCCCACAACGGCATCGGTAACAACTGTTGCTTTTTTCGCTGATACCAAATAATTATGAGCCATGTCACGATGTGACAACTGAAATTTTAATTTTTATATCAATAAATATGCAAGATAACATAAGCCTGTGAAATGAGTCTAAGGTGGATTCAAATTGGAAGGTTGCAAAAAATAGGACGAAAAATTGCGACCCAAAACTCTTTATACTAGCTAGGCGACTGAGGGACTTCTAAGAACCAAGGCTACTATTAAAATTACGAAATCTATAAATTCTCTGGATATACTGTAAGTTTTTTCACATTAAAGTCTATATTGTTTATTTGATGATTCTTGAACACTAACTTGGCATTCAGTTTATAAAGACCCAATGTTCAATAGGTTCTTAATCCTGTTGGGTAAATGTGTTTTCGATAGACCTCAGCTTAAGTATTTGTACAACATATTTATTTCTATGCATATCTTCGATAA